TCTGTTATGCTTAATATAGATTTTCTTTAATTTTTCATAGAACATCTATCAAATACAGTCATTTCTTCATCATAAAAAGCTAGGAATTCGTCAACAAATAATATGTCACATTGATGCACAAAGAAGATAGATTTGCAAGAAGTAGAGTCTATCACGTTGAAAATTTTCGGACCGAGTCAATAGAGAATGTTCAGATCTGGAATCGAACCGAATTAGGTACGAGACCAACCCGAGGCGCTCTAATGAAGCATAAGAATGAGAATGAAGAGAATACCTTCAATCATAGTCGGATTAAGAAAATTCCTATACAGAAATATTCTGTTCGTATAAAATATCTTTAGAAATTTACATGAAATGATTAAATTAGAAATAAATGAAAACGATAAATTCAATTTGAATATTGACAGATCTTTTTTTGCTGGACGAAAAAACTGAAAATCTTTGAAATCTGATGTAACTCATCTTCAATGAAAGATTAATCAAAATTTCCATAGAAATGATTGTTTTTTTTTTCTTTCTATAAAAATTTGCCATGTCAATGTGATCAAGAGAAATATAGAATGATTGCTTTCCAAAGCATATTGGAATTTTATTTTTCATTCTTAAATCAATTGGAGTTATTTTTGGAGAAAAATAATGCGAAGAAAATCTTCAATTGTATTATTACCGATGCATATAGTTGAAAAATAATTGTTCAAAAATCTTATGAATTATTTACTTTCGACTATAATCATAGTTGTTATATAGTTTATTATTTTATAGACGATCATTTTTTCGATTTGTTTTCTGTTATGTTATGAGTAACTAGACTATTTAAAAAGTAAGATTTTTTTTGTTCTTTCTCACTTAGTAAATATTTAAATGATCAAGTTTAAATACAGTAATAAATCACATAACTAATAAAAGAGCAGTGTCCATATTCATGTATGCTACTCATCTGTATCATATTTCAACCAATACTTTTCTATGTATTCCCTAAAAAGTACTCAATTGTGTCCGTTATCTTCAAATTGAAATCGATAATTATTTACAATTTTGAAAATAATGATTGATAGCTGCTGTCAAACTAAAATTACTCGTTGATTTGTTCTTCCATTAAAGCATGTAATATAGAACTCATGCCTTTTTCTCACTATCAATTAATTTGTTTTAAAGAGGTGTGTTTAACCCATTCAACCCGATTCAGTTTTCTTAGAAAATTTTTTCGAGATGTTCAGTTTCATGGACAGTTAACTTTTAATAAATACACTTAATGACCTTTTCGTTATCTACTACCCGCTATTGATTGTTCTCTTCTTTATATCACTACATAATGAGTCATTTTTTTCTGCCGAACTGAATAATCGCTCGAATTACTTTTTCGTTCTTTTCCATATTATACAAAGTATGCGGATGTGGGTGTGGGGTGTGAGTGTGGGTCGGTGTGGGTGTGGTTGTGGGTGCGGGCATGGGCGTGGAGTGTGGTTGCAGAGAACACCAAGAACGCACCCACGCTCCCACCCACACCCACACACCCACACCAACATCCCACATCCCACCCATACCCACACCCACACCCACACCCACACCCACATCAAGAGTCAATTGAAAACGAGTATTTATTTCTTATTGTTTTCTTTTGCTTTTTTCTTGGATATATTACAAATATTTTAGTAAGCATAACTATTGTGACTCGCATCTTGCTGCAACTCTAGTTTTCAAGATTTTATTAACAAAATCAACTTCGATTCTATTAGATTTATACTAAAAATATCTGAAGAGTATTATGTAAAGATGGTAGAATCCAGCGCTTAACAAAATCTACGATGATGCTGATTAGTGCCGATGGAAAAGAATAGAGATTTCTAGAGTAAGTTTTTTACACATTCTTACCCTACTATATGAAAATTTTCTTCATGTAAACTGTGCGATATCCTGTGCAACTATGAAAAATGATAGTAAACATTAATACTAAAACGTAGGAAACAATTGTATTTATTTTCTATTTCTTCATTGTCAAGTTCGACTATCATCACTAATAGTTTAAGTATGTAATTGTAAGGATGATGGTGAAGGATGCATGTATCAAAATATATGACAATACATAGTACATAATCTTAAATTATAGGTTTCTTAATATAATGCAAACGATGATAGTGTAAAGTACGAATTTCAGTCTTATCAGATGGCAACATGATTGGAATGGTTGATATTAAACGGATAGCTTGGACGAAGAAAATTTTAAAGTTCTGAGTTCATAAAACTAGTATTCACTTTAGAGTACTTTGTGTACACAGGTATAATTATTTGGTTGAATCTTGGAGAACTAACGCTCGTTCATATATTGTTTTCTCTTCGTGGTTACACCAATCTAAGGAATACAGTTTTTCTAATGACAAAAATAATTCTTGAGATATAAAGGGTGTGGCTTGAAACAAAATAACATCATATGGGACTGTCGCAGCTCGACGATGGTTTACTAATAATGGTATCATATTATGGAAATGGTAACTTTGCTTGTCTGAACTCAATGCAATTGAGTATGTATAACATTTGGTCTTGTAGACAGAGTCAACAAATTAAACGTGACTAGAAGCAGTTGTTTATCAAGCATGTGATTTTATCTCACAAAAAAAAAACATTCGATGGTGCATCACACTATCAAGTAGCTAGAGAAATATTGTAGACAAAGTATATATGTCTTGAAATTATCTCTGTACAACTATGCTATATCATCCTCTTCTATCTATCGAAATAAAATATTATTCATTTCAATAGAAACGAAACGGTCGGCGTACATTGGACGTATCGAATAGAAATTATTCGGTTAAATTTGTTTTTTTTAGGATATTCTAATGATTTCGAGATGTGCCTATGATCAAAATATCAGATCAACAGTTCTTACGATAATCTTTTACACATCTCATGCTCCAAGAATAAAAACAATAAAATAAGCATAAGCAAAATATGAGCTGGATCTCCGATTGAATAGATTTGTGATGATTATTCAATTGATTATATGAGCAGAAAACTTGAATTAATGAAAGTTTTACTACATACAATTCTTGTTTTAAAATTCTTTCGCAGCACAGCGAACAAACACGATTACGAATTCATGCAATTCGTCTTTCTCATAACTTTAGGCTGATAATTTACTTTTAAGTTTTTGTTTTCTTTCTTCATCTTGTTAAAAAAAATACATGTATTCCTTCGTTAAATATAAAAAGCTTGTGCAGGAATAAATAATGAGTTATCTGGTAGGATTCGTTGAAGAACTATTATGTAGTTTTTGTACAAATTGATGTGTCTACGTAGGTTTCTCCTTATATTTCATCAATCAAAAACAAAATTCAATTTGCAACTTTATACATTCTCCGATTTTTTTACATATTTACGAACAAAATCGAAATTATACAATCAGCACGTGATGCCAAAGAAATCACAAATATATCTTGCAATATTTCTACACGATGTTGATAAACTAGAAAATTGAATTTTTATTTATTCAAGAGAGCAGAACTGCTATTTGGAGATTCTATTTGAGTAAACTTTGGAGTTGAATCATGCAAAAAAAACAATAAAACGCGCTCTATTCTCCAATAAATCAAAGATTTATTCTGCTAGCGTCATGATTAACTTTTCATTCTTGTTAACTCTTAAGCCTTCAGTGATCACACAGAAGAGAAGATCTCATAAGCTATGGATTGTTAAAAAAGAAAATTTCAATTTATTAAATAAAATATTCTTTAGTATCAAGCAGTATAGATTTTTGAGATTTCTTGTATGATATGAATTGATGAAGAGATTTACTAATGATTCATTTAAATTTAGTAAGTTTCATTATAGCTAGACGAATTACAAACCATGAGATGTAAAATGAATCATGTTGCCATTATTGCACAAACAGAGAACAATCAAGAATTAAAATAATGCATGTATTATAAACATCATCATGTGAGAAGTTGAAATAATATTTAATACGAAAAAATTATTTCCAGTAATTGCACAATACCTTCACCAAGAGCAGGACGCTAGATGAATCTAACTACACCATTAGCATATTAGAAAGGCTAATACTCTATATATAAGATAACTTTATTAGTAACTCTTCAGAAACCGCTATGAGTGGATAAATGGTTAAGCTGTTCGTTTGTTTCAATCGTCGATAATTAGCAAGATCGTTTACTAGGTTTTTTTTTATCGATATATCTTTGTGAAGGACTTTAACATCACTAATTTTCTCTTCGTGAATCTTAACTTGTCGAAAGCCAATGTAGTATGAATCTTCATGTTGGAATTTTGCTCTTTCTAATAAAAGGAAAAATATGAAGTCTCTCTAGTTGATTTGTAACATGCAGAAATTCTGTTTGATACTATACTTATGTCTTTGAGACTACATGTTACAAGTTTCACCATATTGAAGCTTACTTGAGTTCAAAACTACATTTTAATTTATTCAAATAATCATCCAGAATACGACATAAAAATTTCATGTTACACTATAGGTACTTTTTAGAAATGAATAAAGAAACCTGATTGCATTACATACATCACAAAGGCCTGTTTATGATCCATGTTTTAATTTGATAAAGAAGACTTGTTTAGAATATGCTTATTCTATTGATTATGAGTACCCAATGGCGATTAATAAATATAAGAAAAGAAATAATGTTAATATTTGTAAAAAAAAAAAAAAAAGAACAAAATCTAGAATCATGGCTGAGATTTCTAGAGGTTTCAATAAACAACATTGAAATTGTAATGAATAAAATAAGTATTTGTTTTCGTATGTTGAGTATATAATTCATTTAATCAATTTCATTTGTTGAGTTACCATTCAAGCAAATTCTATTGTCTACGATGGACAAGAAGCAGTTTAGTGTGTGGGATATGCCAACAACTGTTGAGCAAAAACAATCTAAAAGTGATAGTAAGGATGAAGATAAAGAAAGACGAAACAGACTCAAGAGACGCTTAGCAGCTTTTTACAAGTAGTTTTTGATGAATTTTTTTTCTTATATATGCTTTTAATAATTGAATATAATTTAAGATGTTGTTGTTGTTGTCCATGTTCAACTCCTGTTTTAATTGGCTTTGTGATTGGATCATTGCTTACTGGAATCGCTCTTGCAACAATTCTCGCAATCTATTTGGTTGATTCAAGTAAATATTGTATAGGCTTTGAATGCAAATATATATATATAGTTCTCTGTCAGAAAGATTTACTTTTAAATTCAAATAAAACTATGTGTGCTCGATAGTTCACGTTGAGAAATCTCTTAATCTAAAATGTTACATGAAACAATTATGGTTGTTGTCAAGATATTGTTTTTTCTAAAACAAAAAAACTCTTTTTTTTTGCGAAAGTCTTGCATCTCATATTTCTCGATCGTTTCAGAATAGATTTCTTTTTTGAGTAACATCTCATTTGGAAGAGAAAAGAAGACTAAACAAGATCAACTAATTTTTACATTCAAGCAAGAATTATTATGATCTGAGAAAATTCAAAAAATCTAATTCATATAAACTTTTCAATAATTAACTGAAGTTGTGCTAAAAATTTTATTGACATTTTTTTATCAAAAAAATCAAAAGACTATCAATAACAATTACTAGTGCATCTTTCATCTATTTATTCAATGATTAAAAGAAAAGTCTTTTCAAGAATAATCGAGGCTATCGTCGGTACCAGCATAAAGAACTGAGTTAGACAATATGTTTCATTAATAATATTGTTTCATCAAAAATTTATATCTAATTTTTCTTATCTTCTGTACGTTAAAAATTCATCTGTAATCTTTTCAGACGAGTTTTTGATGAAATAGTATAATCAATGAAACATACTGTCAAGCGAAGTTTTTAATGTTCACTCCAACTGTGACCTTGACTAGAAAAGGCGTTATTGCCAAAGCCAGTATTATATTCTTACGCATCTTTTGTGGTGAGAAATGAGATAATGTATTCTGTACTGTATCAATCTGTAACGATATCGATGTCTATTGTAATAAATATATACATACACACACACATAAAATAACTATTTGTAACTGTTCACATACCAACGCATCTCTCTATGTAGCTTACTTCTTGTTTATTTTCTAGTGACTAAGCTAGTCAGCTTATGGATATACATGAATAGCTAAAGATGTCTCATCATTCGCAGATCTTTCTTTCTTATTCAACAACACAAATCTCATTTACGCACGTAGAGATGAACCTAAAAGCTGAAATAAAAACAGAAACAAAGACTATGAAGGCTGAAGACTAGAAATTATGTGGTCTTGCAGCCACACTGTCGATGGACATATTTCGTGTTTTTCCAAAGTATCATTGATGAGAAGCGCCGGATTTTTTAGAGATTTTTCAACCGTTTCCGATTGGATCTGACACGAAAGAACTGGAAAAATTGATGAGTTTTGACCTAAACTTTTCTGGACTTGGTCATTTCTGTGGCATCCTGTTCAATTTGTAAATCTCAAATCTCCTTATTTTCAATAAGCATGTTTAAAACAAGCTGATATTGAGCGCAAAAGTAAAGGAATACTTACTTACGTTACTCCATTTCTTTAGTCCATGCAAGAGCACTACGACTCGCTAGTAATACTCGACAAAGTGTTTCATCTTGTTTAGTATTTTTTTTTTGTTTTTCAAATGAGGCGGCACTGTAAAAAAGACTTGCATTGTAAGTTGATCCGCAAAATAGGCGAAAGAAAAGGGGTAGGATCTTTAGAAATATTGAAGAGAAGCTTAGTTTTTTAAAAAGTTCATTTCTCGATAATAAAGCTTTTGTATAGCGTTGTTATGCAAATTCTTGATCATCAGTATAAATTTTCGTAAAAAAATAATTTCGAAATAGTAAAATAATCATTTTCATTTTCCAAAGACTGCCCAAGTTGTTATGAATTCCTATTTTAAGAAAAACATTGTGGATTCTATGAGGACTGTACGAAGTTTGAATAATATTATCATAGATATCTATCACAATCATTATTTTTAGGCAAGACAGAAAACCTTTCCAGTAATACTACTACAGTGATAACTGATACTTCAACTACAACTACATCAGCAACAGTGACAACTAGCACGGTAACAACGTCTACTAGTAGTTCAACTTCGACTATTAGTACAATAACAACAACTACAACAACTGCTACTTCGACAACTGCTTCAACAACAACATCGATAACGACAACAACTGCAACTACAGTAACAACAACTACTACTACTTCGACTACGACAACGGCACCTTGTAAGTTATTCGTACAAAATTTTAAAAGTGCATCAAAATTATTTTATTTTTCATCGATGAATATTAGATTGTACGACACGTGTCACATTTGATGATATTCCTGGTCAATCAAGCACATCTGGTGTTGTTCCAAATGGATATAAAAATCTCAATTGGACAAATGTCTTGTATCTCAATTCATCAACAATGCCAACAAGTGGTTATCAGACTGCTGTCAACTCACCACCATTCGTTGGTTATAATCCAGGCGGTACAATAGTTCAAATAACGACGGCTAATGGTACAAAGTTTGCTTTTAACTCAGTGATTGTATCATCTGCTTGGCGAGATAATCTTGTTTGGTCCATATATGGTTATCGCTCTGGTACTAATTTGGTATATGCTCCCTTTACAATGTCAGTGATAAATCAGACAAAAATTTCATGTAGTGCATGTTCTAACTGGGATACGATTTATTTTACATCGTCAGGCGGAACACCGCGCTCTGGACTGACTGGAAACGGAACAGAGTTTGCTTTTGACGATTTGTGTATTTCGTTTGGGTACTAATCGATATTTTTCAATCACTTTTATTTCATTCAAAAACTATATTAATATTTATAAAACTAACATATAGTTTTGAAGCTTGAAACTAACAGGTTTTTTTTAAATAACTTTGACTATTATTAGAAGCATCATGATTTATAACACGAAAGTAGCTATGATTGTACGAGAGATTTTTCAATGAATTTCTTTGCAATATGCTATTAACAAAAGGGTATGGATGGGCTGCGGGTGTGTATGAATGTGAGTGTGGATGATGATGAGTTTAAGGAAATATTCATCATCCATACTCACACCTACACTCACATCCTCTGGAAGCTTATTCACTGTTGCTTCGTACATGTTAAACTTGGTACTGGTCGCTACCTACACAGCAAGCTTAGCTTGGAATCTAACAAAAGCCAGACCGAAGTACTTTATTCGTGGCATCGATGAAAGCAAAAAAAAGGAAAGTTGCCTTTTGATCGTGTTAATGTCATTGAAGGTGCAGCTATGGAACAGTATTATCCGAGAAAACTTTCACAATTTCTTAGACAGCGGCATTGCAGAATATATAACCAATAATGTTTACTGTAACTTAACTTTAGTAGTGGAACGTTTGACGACAGTGCATTTAGCATTGTTATGCGAAAAAATTGGGCCTATGACCAAAACTTGGTCCTGAATATTATAGCGTGAAGAGGATTATGCCATTTAGATAATTTGAGAAAAGATGGTTTTAAGCAAGAAAATGTGACGATTCAGACAAAACGCTGAGGGCCATACAAATTGAAGTGATGGCTAGTTTATTTCTCATCTTAGGAATAATCGCTGCTCTCACATTATTACTATTCGCTTGAAGCAAACGTTCGATCATTAAAACTATTTCTATACACTGAAAACTCGAATCCATGCGGTACTGTAAGGCAAACATTTGTCCACAAGTCACTCTAATAATTCTTCTTAGTAAGAATCCAAGTCTGTCTCTTTGCTTCTGCTGCACTACCGTTACCATTGTTTTAACTTTTTGTGTTACATATTGTATCAAAAGATAATATACACATCCTATAAAATAGCTATTTTGTGTAGAAAGATGCTGATATTGTTGATCATGATTAAACATCTTTATTGATTTCTATATCGTCTTGGTGGATCAGAATCCGACTACTCTGAATTCTGACTTCTTGAGAAGTTCAGATCTCAATCTTAAACCTAAAATGTAATGAGCAATACGTCAACAGTGAAAATTTGCTGCGTTAAATAATCAAATATAGTTGAGTTATTTACATTGTAGACGAGAACATTATACCAGCATATCTTTTGTTACAAGACACTGCTAACTGTTAGCATCATTACCGACAAGGTAAGGAGTTTTTAGTATTATATCAAGTTTTTAATCTTTTTTATTTTTTTTAAATAATTATCGGATCAGAAAATGATGGATCATCGAAAGATAGTTTAGGGAACGTTGACGAGCACTAATTTTATTTTCTAAAGCTTGTTCTGAGTCACTTAAATGAAATTGATCAATCTAGTCCTTTTTCGGTGCCGAATCAGCAAAGAGACTAGCAGCCATCTCTTTCGGATAACGTTCACCAGCTATATCGGCTTTCAAGCAAGCTTGTCGAATTTCATTAACTTCATCCTTGCTCAATTGAATTTGTGCAGCCGCGACATTTTCTTCCAAGTTCTTGATTTTAGTTGTACCTGGAATCGGAATGAAGTCGTCACCTTGAGCAAGGACCCAAGCGAGTGTCAATTGGCCAGTTGTGCAACCTTTCTTCTTGGCTAATGATGTTAATGTGTCGACCAACTGAAGATTTTTGTCAAAATTTTCCTTGGAGAACCGTGGTAGGCGTCTTCGAAAATCATTTTGTTCAAGATCATCAGGACTCTTGATTTGTCCAGTAAGAAGACCACGACCTAATGGCGAATAACAAACGATTGCTACGCCAAGTTCTCGACAAGTTTTCAGAAGACCAATATCTTCATGTTCGATTTCCAGACTAAATGGTGAATATTCAATTTGAACAGCCGAAATTGGATGAACAGCATGAGCACGTCGAAGTGTGTTACTCGAACATTCAGACAAACCAATATATTTGATTTTGCCAGCTTGGACAAGTTCTTTCAATGCTCCCATAGTTTCTTCAATCGGAACATTTTGATCAATACGATGCATGTAGTACAGATCGACTGAATCCAAACCGAGGCGTTGTAAGCTCTTCGCACATGCCTCTCGAACATATTGAGCATCACCTCGGACGGAACGCGTGCCATCAGGACGAACACAAATGGCAAATTTCGTTGCCAAAAATACCTATCGATTATTACAAGCAATTTATGTTCAAAAGTTTCTGTTTTATTTGTTTGATTTCCTTTCTTTCTGTTTAGAATCGATATCAAGAAAAATTCTGAAAAACGGATTGCATCCTTCAAGTCTTCATGGAGAAAGGTTTCTCTGTCATAGATGAAAATACACTTACGAAAATGGGCACAGCTTCAAACTTCATTTTTAGCGATCTTGCCCTTGAAACGATCCGTATTAAGGTTGTGGGTAAAGACTGTTTTGGGTAATATATACGAGGCTTTCTAATTAGCAATAGTCTACAGGACTCACTATGACGTAGACTAACAGTAGATGTGTCACATTTTTTAAAACATTTTTTAGAGCAATCATTCTGAGCCATGATGAGAATTTATTTCTTGAAAGGATTTGTTTGAACCTCTCCTAATCGAAGAAGATCTCTAAAAAATGCATTTCCACATGTTAAGAGAGAAAGAACTTGTTTAAATTAGTAGGTTTTTCTAACAAACTCGTTTTTATCTATTTTATCGACATTTTTACTAGTTATAGCACCTTCAAAATTCTGCATTTGTTAAAAAAAAAAAGAAAACTCAAGTGTAAAAAAAAATGCGTTTTTGTTCGCTTTTTCGAGCTGATTTAAGTGCATTAATCAGTAATTTGTTAAGTTATTCAACAATACATTTTCTTTAGTAAGTGCCATGAATACCTATTAAATTACACACTCAAACGGCGTATAATAATCACGAAAACTATTTTGAAAGATGGTAAAATCATGAAAGATTAGTATTATTATTGAATTAAAAATCTTGAATATACTTTCTTCGACTCAATGCCAAAGTCTTATGATCGTGACACGATTACCAAAATATAGGAAATGGTTATGAATGTTTGATCAGAAAAGATCAAAGTTGATCACATTCTATTTCATGATTGACTTCATTGAACCAGCTTCTTATCTTTGCTTAGTCGATATTGTTTGATTTGCTGTCGATATCTTCTCATTTAGCATCGAATAAAATAATAAAGAATCTAAGTGGCAAGTCTGAGAACGTTTTACATCAAATGATAATGATAACCTGTTATCCATTATTGGTTATACGATACACAACCAAGGAAGATAACATATTTTATGCATGCATGTAAACAAGGAGCAATACGGGTTTTTTTTACAAGTCTTATTAGTCTTTAATTTTTCATTGGATACTATTACTCTTAGAGGATACAGTTTAACGGATAAACTAATTCTCCAAACTTTTGAATTTCTTACATCAACATGATGAGTAAATATTTCTTATCTAGAAAAATTTATTCTGATGAATCAATGCACTTAGAAAATGTTTAAAGGTTCTTTTTCTCGAGTTTTTAAATATAGAATGTGTTTTGATTTTTTTTTCAATCCGTTAGTTATATGTATTCTTTATTTTGTTCTTTTCACTTTCTTCTTACTTTGTTGTTCATTCTAATTACAAACTGCTTCTTAGATATATTTGTCAAATACGATTTAGTTAATAAATAGATAATATGTTTATATTCTCTGAGATTGTAGAAACTCTTTGTTTTAAATAAAATGAGTTAGTATTGTCTAAAATCACTTTAACTATGTTAACTACTCATTTAAAAAATTACGCGTTACAATAACAGATGTTCGTCTGTATCACGACTACATAAGTTAAACTTCATAATTTTATTATCTGTTAATGTATACCAAAAGTTGAAATAAAAACTTCAGGAATTCAAACTAGAAAAATTTAATGAATGACGAGAAATCTTTCATGGTATGTTTTGGAATATATCAACGAATAGTAAAGTCTAATTGATATGATAGCAATACAAGAAGAGAGTAGACCTTAATACCTAAGAAGTTATCATGGCAGTCTCTCAGGAAATCTTGCGATGCAGCATGCAAATACTTTAGTACTGCTTAGACTTTTAAACGATTGTTTCCAAAACGCTTTAGAGTGGACAGTTTTTATATTTTGCAATGCATTTGAATTTTTGAATGGTGTAGTAATAACAGAACTTCTAGGGACAAGTATCAATTCTTGAAGAGCGACTAATTTTCTTTTCTTAACGTGCTACTATGAAAAAAACAGAGATTTTTCGTTGATCTCTTTTTACTGATTGCGTTATATTCTATTGAAAGAAGTCTATCGTAAAAATTTCCTTCGAAATAGAACAACAGCGACGAAAATCCACCAATCATTGATTCACAAATGATACAGCATGACTCACTTTTTTACGTTGGTGTGGATATTTCTTAAAATATTTTCCAAGCAATTCTTCGCTGTCACCATAGACATCTGCACTGTCAATGTAGGTGCTACCAAGTTCGATCACTCGATCAAAGACTTTGAATCGTTCTTCATCAGAATCAATGCTTCCATAGAATGCTGACAGACCCATTGCTCCAAAACCGATGGCTGATACATATGGTCCATTCTTGCCTAATTGTCGAGTGGGCATAGATGCCATAGTTTTTGCTTGACAGGAAGTACGTGCGAAAAGTTAAAGAAAAAATCTGAAAGAATAATTTTACTGCGATAATTATTTTATTTTTTTCTTGTGAACTAAGTCATACTTGCGCATATTACTATTTATATCAGTTATAACCTGCATGACAAAGCAAAAAAAAATGCTTCTGTCTACCAACAAGCAATGCAAGCAAGAAGAAAAGCAAACGGTGAAGAACAGAAAAAAAAGAGTATGACAAGGTCATTTTTGTCATTTTATCCATCCAAAAGAAAAGCACGAGTCGTAAGCAAAAAATCGTCTATGAGTTTTCTCTCTTTGCTCTGCACGACATTTTTTTTTTCTCTTTCTTTTTCTATAACCGCTCTCTATTGTTGTCACTCATACACTCGTACTCTCTAATCTCTCTCATCGTTTTCAGATGATATATGCATTCGATCATCTTTCCTCTTGTGTTGTTAGTGTAAGACATAATTTGTGTAGTTATGACTTGAGAGAAAGATTTTTCACTATAAGATCTACTTTCATCGAGCTTTTACTGTTGCTCAAACTTTGATGTATATGTATTGTGTATCTAATCAACGATTCTATACAGATATTTACAAGCAATGGGAATAATTGAAAAATGCTTTAATATTATGATGATTACTAGTTTCTTTTTTTTAAAATACAGTATTTTCCATCTGCGACATAAACACTAGAATAATAAGAGAAGATTATCTATCATAGTCAATATATGAGATCTGTGAAATCAAAACTCTAGAAGAAACTGTAGACTCATTTATTTCGACAAACAACTTTTTCTTCGCAATGATTGGTTGACACAGTGTAGAAAAGTTTCTACATGCTTCATAAATACCTATCACAATGCAAGCCACTTTGGTAATATTCAACATTGATAACATAACAAATAAAATCATATCACATGTATTTGCATGGTTCTGACTGACGAAGAAAGTTGAGAATATCGACAGTTAATAAACAAGTTAACGGCCAACTTGGGTGATTCTAGTGTATTGTTGACACATAGTGAATTCTTAATCGATCAACCTGAAAATACCACCAACAATCAACAATCCTGTACTATGATAAATACAAAACAGTATTGAATTATTATCTCCCAGAAAATAATATCCGAAGGTTCAATTGTAAAATAATCAATACCGAGATACTCTAAAACTCAACTAGCAATATTGTAACAACCGCTTTCAAATTACATGATTTCACAGTCGTTATCAAATATTTTGAAAATAGACTTGATATTCTATTGAAGTCGAATATCTGTTACTTATAAAATACTCATAGATTAATAGCAAGCTAGGCGCAATCTCGCACGGGCGAAATTGACGGTTACAAGACAGAGTACATCGAGTGATGGTTCAATCTGTCAATGGTTAGAAACAACTGAAATAATCTTGGATTCAATAACAAGAAATGAACAATAGTCAACCACCATTCTCTATAATATGGTTTGAGAACTTTTTGGAATTAATTCGACTAACTGAAACCTCTCAATAGACTTTGACTCATTTAGTCTTAGGACATATTGTTCAGTTTGATGGTCAACAGTTTTCAAATTTCATCAGACTAAAAATATGTAATTAAGAGAATGAAATGTTATTTTAATTAAATAAATACTTTTCTACATTATATATTCGAATAATATAAACTCAACCTTGGTTATTAATATCATTTGCCATAATAATCATACGTGAATCTTCAAATAGTTCTTATATTCATAAACAATTGCATGAAAACGAAATGTATATTATTCGATATTGTCACAAATTGTTTATGCTCGTTCTATGTAGAATGTGTGTAGATTGCAGCGTATTGAAAACTTTATATAGAGAATGTCATCATCTCACCTTCTGAATTGAGAAACCATTCGCTTTTTCAACTTATCAATGATCAGTGGAGTTTCATCGGATGAAATCTTGATTTCTGATGATTTTCGATGGCTTAAATCTGCCGAACTTCAAAATAAATAACTAAAACTTGCCAAAATTCCTAGAAACTAACGTTTTCCAGTGATTTCTCTCGATTTTTAATGACACTAGATATTGCTGTTGATCTATTAACTGTTCTGAGCATTGATGTAGGATATTGCCATTCAAGTTCTATCTGCTTTCATTATGGCATGTAACTACTTAGATCTCCTTTTGTAGCAGGCCTTTCATAACAAATAAACCTCTCACTAATACAACAATATCTCTTTTGAAATGTCATTGTTTTGTGCTGCTTTATGTTTTAAAATAATACACATTTGATACACCGCAAAACACATTTATTCATCCAGTCGACCTTTTTTGAAAAAATGGTTTTAATCTTTTTTTTTTTGACATTATATGTAGCTCTTTGCTGCGTGCAGCCGCCGCAAAATTTATCCGTATGATTTCTTTTTTCATCAAACGTAGTCAAAATACAGGCTTTTTAAGACCCATGGCGTAAAAAATTGAAGAAAACGCACTGCGTAACACGTTTTCAAGATTGTAACATGCGTTTCGTAACGTTTATTCAGTGCAGCACGCGTTTAGCAACATTCTTACTTAGGTACAATGCGTTTTGCCACCGTCGTTTTTCGAAACGATCCGAAATACTACTTTTCAAGATAGTGTTTGAAGTGTTTCCGAAGTAAAACGCTGTCGAACGCACTTCGGTCGATAGGCGACGCGTTTCAGAGACACGAATTGGAAAAAATGTGAAACGCGTTTCTTTTTCAAACTCGTTTTACATTGTTTTAACTTGGAATGATGCAAAATGCATCCGTTATGTGTACAGAAACTCGCAGGAATTCATCTATACAAAGCATGCGACTAAAGCAAAGCTGACTCACTCACATTATTTTGGAAATGATATGAAATAGCATTTGAAAATTTTGTTTCTCGCACTGTTTTTGAAGATGAAAATCATTGCCCAAATTTCTGAAGGCAAGATTAAAATCGAATTCTTCTAAAAGTTTACGTTACTAAGTAGGCCGTTATTTAATCTGATTCGAAGTTATACTCATATTGAACATCAAAGTGTTACAAAAATATGTTCTTCTCCCTTGAAAACTCATTTTACTACGTTTTTATTGAAAAGAAACGAGTTTTGCTACGTTCAACCAAGAATCGCTTTAAATATTGAACAATTCAAAAAGATTTAGTAAAGATTGATGCTACTCTAATGAGTACGACAACTTTGTTTAGTTATTTCTGAACAAAAGAATTATTGCGTTATTTATAATTTGAATAATTATTAGTACGAATTCATATTTGGACTACTTGATCGTGACTGATGATACTGTGTTCAATACCGCTAAATATGATTTTAGTTCGTACATTAATGATGTAAGGTTGACTTTTTAATAAAAGAGATTCAATTTACAGAAGAAAATTCCTTTTCATTTAGTGATGTAACTGGGTAAAAGAATGACGAATTTACATTTATAAAAATCTATTGAATCCAGAAAACAATTAAAAAGATAAATTTTTAAATTTTCTAAAATTTATATCGAAAAAATTCAACTTGTTTAATTATTAAATACAATTTTAATCAATTAAATTCGTTTCAATTGAGTATTTAAATTTAAATTTGAAAGATTTTAAATAAAAAATATATCAAGAGGAGATCGCACTCATAATTGGATATAGGCACCAAGGAAATAATAATTTTTAATTCATTGGAATAGGAAACCGAAAATCTAATTTAGTAAGTTTATGCGAGACTCTGAATGACAGTAGAATAAACACTGATATCATTAGATTATTTTAGTTGAACGGTTTGTACACATATCTTATACTCTTATGTTCTCGTGTTCGAATCCATGCCTCGACTTTATTTAAACTCATGTAAGTTATAGTTCAAAAGAACTATGAAAAAATGTAAACGAGTACATGAATTGTATCTGCAATTCAAACTCAATGAAGTTCCTGACGGTTTTCATTTTTTTCGTCCAGAATATACAACACTACAGTTTAAGAAACGCTACAAAGTTTTTTAGAAAAACGATCGTTCCACAGCGTTTATCCTAGCAGATGTGAAACGCGTTAAACCTGTCAGCATTAACGCGTTTCGCAACTATAGAAAAACATATTTTAAGAACGCGTTTTTTTCGCAGAAAGGACAGGGGTGCATAAGACCCTGATTTGACCCATTGGGTATTCCACACTATATCCATCACAATCATATATAGAATGAAAGAGCTTCGACTGGCGAGTACTTTGACACCAGATTTCAGGTACCTTTCAAGTACATTTGAGGACTTCCTACCTTAAGATTTTGAATGGTCTTATCACCATATTTGCTTAATCATTTTGCTAAAAATCCGTATAGGCCAGCTCCTATTATAGCTTGTCGGATAGCTCTTTTCGCGGGCTACAAAATCCTATAGTTTTTAAAATTATTATAGGTGGGCCAATAAAAAAGTCCAAGATCACAAAGTAAAAACTATCCCATTTTTACATATAGTATAACATGTTTGATTTACCATTCCTTCAAAAACTTTTTAAGTCAACTCCTGTTATAACTCGTCAGATGGCCTTTTCTGTCAGCTACAAAATCCTAGTATTTGTAGAATCAGAAAAGTGGAAACACTATAATCAAATAGGTACATATTGTTTTTGTAAATCTGTAAGAAGAGTGCTATCATTTCCTGTTCTTATTATTTTTTTCAAAAGTCAGATGCGACATCAATTGTTATACGAGATTTATATTATCACTGACATCTAGATTATTCAAACTTTGTTCGATAATTGTGTGAAGACTATTGGCTCTATTGCTCTAGTGGTCATGAGGTTTATTTATACCTCACGTATTTCGGTTAAAAAAGCCATTGGATTTTTCTAAAGACATTCGTTTAAGTATTGCCGCATTCACACGCTATCCATTGGAATTCACTAAGCAGGAGCCAAGGGAGGAACAAATGAGACTTCGGTTGTGAAGTCTCATGAAGTCTTGAAGTCTTTCGAAGTCTTCTGAAGTCTCTTAAAGCCTGGTGCAGTTTTATGAAGTTCGATAAA